ACGCGTTAAACAGGAAGCAGCCAAACATCTTTTTGTCTGGCTGTGAAACTGGGAGTTGGGGGGGTGGAGGTGCGATTAATTGACCTGGATGACTGAGAACCTTCACAGACATTAATTGACAGTGTTTTCGTCTACTGAGCAACACCATTAATAATTGAAATTGAATTCAATTTTATTTATATAGAAAAAACAAAAGTGCTGTAAATACATACTTGTATTTGGAGTCCGTAGTTCTTGTCCACATCACAATATGACACATTCACGCAGGACGTCAGGTCGATCTCTCCATCCAGGTCATCTGACTGCAGCACGACAAGAGCAGCATAACTTTAGCTGAGTCAAATAAGGTCACGGTTCTCCCCCAAACAATTAATTTTTCAGGAAACTGACCTACTGGTATCAAAAAACAAACTTCATAAAGTCTTCCTGATTGTGCAAAAACAGCACACCAGAAACTGCTTTAGTGTCATACCTCCTTAGCCTCTGAGTCTCTGTAGTATCTCAGCGAGGTGTCACCGAGAACAAACCAGTGTTTCCTCCACTGCGGAAAGCACAGTAAATATGGACAACGATGAACTAACTGGTGCCATGACCATCAAACCCATTCGTTGGCATTCATTTCTACAGTATGTAGACTCTTTTCAAGATGTTTCACGATGATGAGTCACGTTGGTGGTGTTTTGAGCCTGTCTGGCAGGTTTTATGAGGATGTGGTTAAAGCTAGAATCAGCATCTTAGTTAAATATAATACGTTTTTCAAAAGAATACCTTTACCTTGCCATGTTCATCCAGTCTGGACATCCACCCCTTTGAGAAACAATATCTGCAATTAAAGCGATACGAGCAAACAGAATGAAAGAGCTCTCTTTGTGGTTTATCTCTCACACTTCATTGTAAAACTAGAGGAAGCGGAAACTGTCGGAAACAGACGACTGCACTCTTGAGATAACTAATACAGATCGACGCATGTGGCGAGGTGCAGATAGAGAAAAATACAACTGAACAGGAACATTCAAAGAGGAAGATGTGTAGTTTCTGTGAACCATCAAACTGTCAGAGGGAGAAAGGAAGGGAAAGGGGAACCGACGGTACATTATTAGAACGATAGTACCAACTGAAAAATACTCACCGTGTATGACGAATGTGATCCGTTGTTATCGTAATATGAAGAGGAGGAGAAATAGAGGAATTAGGTTGGAAGAAGTGCCCGATGTGATATGTAAAGAGGATGTCATAAAAGTTTCACACATACAGAGGTGCCTACATATGGAAATTCTGTGTGAACTACTAAAAAAAGTTTTCAACAGTGAAACAGAAACATTGTTGAACGTTTCATTTCGTGGTCATCCATCAGTGTACAGTGACTCAGCTGTTTTAGTCATGACAGCACAACACTGCAAATACAGGAAACAGTTAACTGAAACCGTCCTGGAACCTATTAATAAAGATGATAAATCGAATGAACATGCTGCCCTAAAACACAGAGTGCTAGGTAATGACTTCTGCCTGCGAGTGTGTGTCTCTGCGAGGGGCTGAAATACATGAATGACCTATTTTCCTCCAAATGCTCGTGTGATATATACAGACGCAGGAAGTCATGAGACAGTGCTCACCTGTGTCTGCAGACGTTCAGGAGGAGCCGGTCGCTCATTCACCTTGGAGGATCTGTGTTTTCCACTCTGGCTCTCTGAGGTCTTTGATGGATTAAACAGACAGGACGTTCTTGCCTTTTTAAACACAGCTGTTTGTGATAAACATGCCTGCAGTGACTGCATCTTACCTGTGTATGAAGAGATGCTGCCGATCGTCTCCGAGACGATCGTCCGTTCTCAGAGTCTCGACATTTCTCCCGTCTGTCTCTCCCTCTCTCTCTGCCTCTCCCCCTCTCATCTGACTCCAGCCTTGAACTGTAGAACTGGCTCGATCTGTCTATTTCATCTTGATACCTTAAAGTTAATGTGTAGAGGAAATGAAAAGAGGAAATATGTTTTGAAAGTGAACTTTTGCAGACCTCTGCAAAAGGTTCAAGAGCATGTTTATTTTCTCAGGCCATAAATTAATGCTATCAGTTACCACATCAGATAAATACATATCTTCAAAGAGTTTTCTGCCCACTAATTTTCCAGCTAGTGAAGGAGTGACGCACAGATCACAGCAGATTGTAGTGCACAAGTCCAGACTTTAAACACTAAGTGAAGCAACTGAACCAAAGTATTGCACTAACTGTTTATGGATTACAGCCATTTTTATACAATTATCAGAGAGTGCAATGGAATAAGGTCACTGGTGTTTACTGGTGATGTGACTGCTCATAGAAGTAGCAGGATGAATTGAGCATTTACAGGGCTATACTTTGTGGTCAGGTTCTGCCAAATGCCGAAAAATTGATTGGACAACTCTTCACGGTGCAAATGGATAATGACCCAAAACATACTGCACAAACATCTCAGTTTCTCAAGGCAAAGATTCAATGGCCAAGTGAGTCAGCTGATCTCAACCTAACAGAGCATGCCTTTTAATTTTTTTTTTTTTTAACTGAAGCCAAAAACTGAAGGCGGAAAAAGCAAATAACAGCCAGCCGGTGGCTGCCCTGAAGACCTACCAGAGCATCTCAGAGGAGATAATTCAGGCAGTCACTGACTACAAAAGACTTTTATCCACTAGTTTCTTTTGGTAGCAGTTAAGTAGTGAAAGGCAATATGAAGTGCTGTTAATGTTGATTTTGGTTCCTGCAACATTACAACTGAAGATTTATAAGGTTTAAAATGTGGTAAGAAAACTTCAACTATAACTGCTAAAGCCTATTTTGGCTAGCGTGTGCATCTCAGAACCTCTGTCAGTCTTGGATGAGCTGAATATTTCTGTGTCCAACCACATTTCGGTTGGCATTTAGGTAAGGCCCAGTTAGGTGTTTAAACAGATGCAAGTGCTCAAAACTAGCAGTGAGACAATGCCACATCACCAACCTGTATGTCCTGAGTCTCTGGTCCCTGCATGGACTGGGACTCTGGTTCCTCAACCTCAGCCCTGGAAACTCTTCTTCTGATTCCACTTGGATCTTGGGAATATCAGCCAGCACTATGTAATCATCTATGGTCATCCCCACCTTAGATTTAGAAAAGATTTAGCATGTTAGCATGTGGCAAGACTAATTTTTATATAGTGTTTGTTAAATAAATAGATAATTCTAAAAACTGAAGCAAGTGCAGGAGTGCCTTAAATCTTCATTTCATTAATATGGCATAATGGAATATTTACTTTACCACTTTAAACACTTCCTAATGAGTTTATTGTGTCAGTTGCTAGTTGTGAATTAAAGATTAAGTCTTTTTTCATAGGTTTAGTCATTCTAAGTGCCAGAAAGGAGCATTATCCACAGTATGTTCATTGGCTAACAACTCAAGGTTGACAGTCAGCCAAATTCCTGCTCACACGACTTATTTACCTCCTCAGCATCTACAGCAGCCTTTTTGGGTTCAGAGATCAGCAGGGTGTCCATGCCTCGTCTAATGGCGCTCCTGCTTCGGTCACCTATGACTTTGTTTTTTCCTTCATCGGCTTCATCTGTTCCTGTAATTGTAGCTTGTGACAGTGATCCACCAAAGACTTGCGAGACTGTGCCCCGCCTCGATGACGAGGATCCAGGTGAGGCCGGGATGCTGAGTAAAGAGTGTGCGGACCCCTGCCATGAGTTTTGTGGACTCAGCCTGCTGTCTCTGGAGCAGGGTTCTCTTTGTGGGGAGTGACTGGTGCCGTAGCCGTTCCTGGCTGGTGAAACGTCACGACTGTTCCGAGTTCGAGTGTTGGTCGAGCTGTTGACAGCTGTTCTGATTCGTGGGGATGGTTGGGATTGCTCATATGAATTTTGCTGAAGAGCCGACGAGCCACGACGGGAGATAGACTCGAGATTTCTGTACAGCTTCTCAGAGTCTAAACTGTGCCTGTTCGAAGCTTGTGATGGACTTCCTGACTCTCGACTATATCCCTTTATAGCATCATATTCACCATTCTGTGAGAGCAAAGAGACTGCACGCCTGTGAGATGGTGTGGCCCTGGAGGGAGACGCGGTGCGAGAGGCATTGGACAACTTCCGGCAGGATGGACTGGACCAGCCTGATGTATGGCAAGAAGGACCATATGATGGAAGCTGTGGAGAGCTGTGAGATGAAGTATGAGACCGAGTCTGACTCCTACAGAGGGAGCTCCCTCTCTGAGCTCCCACAGGCGATTCGGTGAGCTTGTAGCGTTCTGGACTCATAGAGCTGTGACGTGTCGGAGAATTTGTCAGGGAATCTCCTCGTCTAAAGTTTGAGTGGTATGTGTATCTCTGCGGGGATTCACTTCTCCAAGTTTCCTGCATATACGTCTCATGATTTCTTCGCTGGGAAGGCACTCCCAGGTTGACGTTCCTGTAAGGGACACAGGCCTTGGGCTCGGGAACATAGTTGCTTGGAAGGGGACGCCCCCGCTCGTAGTAACGAAACTGACGTTTTTTGTCCTCCTCAATCTGCTGCTCACCATCACCTCTTCTGTCGGGAGAGAAGTAACCACTCTCTTGTCCCCTATCTCCCCAGGACTCTGAAAATCAAACAAATCTGTGATCATTGCCTTAATAATGTAAATAGCTTATCAGAGAGGATTATCTTTCTGTAAAATGCTCATGATGGAGTTTAGTTCTAACTGGGATGCATGCCTGTGACTGACCTGACGCCTGGCGGGACCTGTTTCTCCCTCTCCTCTCATCCATCCAGGAGCTTTCAGTGCCTTGTGGGGGAGAGGAGTCCAGCCGTGTCATTTCTCTTTGAGCCACACAGTACCGCTCCAAGCTGGGGGATCGGCCCCTCTCTGAAGAATCCAACTGATTTGGAGAGCTGGGAGAGGTAGCAGACAATCAGTCGATGGGCGATAAATTGTTATTTGAATGCATCTAAAGTGTTTGCTCAAGTTAGTGAAGAAGTGCTTCAAGAACATCTTTACACATCTGCTGTGCTGTCAGTCTAAGATTTCCATCAGCTTTGTCTTTCGTTAAACTCTTGGCATTAAACAAAGAAGGAAAATAATGTTAATCTTCTTTTTCCATACAGGAACTTTCAGAGGAACTCAGAACTTAATTATGATCAGCAGAGGAAACCATCAAAACAGCCCCTGCTCACATGGTATTTAATTTTACGTACAAGAATTTTGGAGGTCGGGCTTACAGGTCAGAAGGATTAAGACTGATCACGTATTCATTTTATGGATTAGAACTGTCTGTAGGTTATATATAAAATATATATTTCTATAAACAGCATTGATTTTTTTCATACGTCAATTAAGTTACAGATTAATTTAATTATTAGCTTAATCAACTTAATTATTGGCATTATTAATGTATTAGTTAGGTGTTATCATGTACTTAATTCATCATTTATATATCATTACTCCTTCTTAGTATGCCATTTATAAAAGCAGATGTATTCTTAAGACCATCTTCAAGTTTCAACAGATTTTTCAAATAAATATAAAATGCTAGAGGAGTGTGTAGAGACTCACCGGTGCTGCTGCAGCTGTGATAAGAGGAAAAGACTCAGTGTACCGAATATAGAGCCCGAGTTATAGTTAGAGACTCTCTGAGATCACTGCACTGTGAGAGAACAGTGCATATTCAGTGATTTGAACAGAAGCCCTGAGTGCTACGGTAGTTATTATGGAAATATGATGAGAGCAGATTCTTGTCCACACAGATGAAGTGTATAAAACACTGATGTAATTATTACATTTTATGTTGATAATTATGCACCCCTTTCTATGCTGAATTTCCAGATAGAGAAGCTCACTGTGTCTGCACTATCAATAAACAGATCAGTTATCATTATTGTGGCACCACAACATCCAGCACCATCAGCAGTCAATCAGGTCCTCTTCCTCCTGAAAGCCCCACTTAGTCTAAACCTTTTCCTCAAAAGTTTAGAGCTCACCAAAGCAAGAACATTTAAAATATCAAGAACTATATATGTTGTTTTTTTTAAACTATCGGCACTTTAGACTCTGGAAGCTAGGGATCAAGTGAGGTTTGTGGTTTGCTGCCAGTGGTACTGGGACGTTGTACAAAAATGGTGAATTAAAAAAAAGGAGGACCAAATTCTTCCTCCAAATTCATCAACTTCATCTCACATCGACGTCTTGAGGCTTGATCCTGGGATGCAATTGAGTGTTCCAACATGACAATGACCCCAAACACACATCAAAACGGGTTTGGAATGGATAAAGCACGCTTAACATTAAGCTTTGTGAATGGTCATCTCAAAGCCCCGACATCAACCCTATTGAGGACTGAAGCCACAGTTGTGTAAGGAAAACCACAAATGTAAATGAACTCTACCAATACTGCCATAAAAAGTGATCAAATATGTATCCAGAATTATGCCAGAAACGACCAAAACAGTTTGGTTGAGGTGCAACTTTTTAAGGGACATTTAACCAAATATTAATGAGGGTATACTTTTGACCCTGTGTGGATTTAAGAAAATCCAAAATACATTAAAACTTGTGCACCCAGCTCTTGTTTTTAAAAATCTATACAGTGGACATTACAGTTCACATTATTAAAACCCCAGAATTACCATGACATTCACACCCATGATGAGTGTACATAAATTTATGATCACAACTCCATGATTGAGCTAATGGATGTTATTGAGCTGGCCAGTCAGTGATACTCGTTCACTAACTCAGTGTATATAGTACAGGCAGGTTCTTGGTAAAAAGTGGTTTCTTAAAAACGGGACACTGGATACACTCACCTGGATTGTATGTCAGTATCACCGATATTAAGTTCCCTCTCAGGACTCAGACTGTGCTCTAGACTCCACTCGTAGGTCCAACCGCCTCTGACATCATCACTACTGGCACTTGTGGTCACCTCAGACAGGGCACATGTGTCGTCATCATCATCATCTGTATCCTGGTTTGTGGGGAGCAGAAACATATCTTAAGCATTTGGATTAATAGTGACAATTAGATATTTAAACTAAGAAAAATGCTGTCAATCAGAATGTTTTGTCTCTATTTTTGAAAACTATTTCAACTCAAAGTAAAAGTGTCGAAATAATGTCTGCTTTTTTTTTTATAACAGTTCAGTAATAACATGTTTAGCAGTCCTAACTTGGATAATTCAACCAATTTAAAACCAAAAAAACGACAGAATTCAACAAATTTATGGGAACCAAAATTGTCAGTTTGGCATAGTGACTGCAGCCTTGTCTAATTTGAATTATTCTGCAATTCTTAAAAAATATTTAACCTCCTAAAAGTGCAGGTTTCTCAGTTATTTGGATTTACAATAAACCAGCCAATGCTTATATCTAATTATGAAGCTTCATACAGCAACTATGTGATGGCATGTGTCTACTCACTTTAAAAATCAAACAAGTCACAGCAAAACAAACTGAATTTTTATACAAAAGTAAAAAACAAACTAACTTGCTGAGTCTGAGCATTAACACAAATTCCACTTACTGTCACTGATCACTGACCTTCAGGCAAATCTGCTGTCAAAGCTGTGTAGCCACTTCTGTCTTTGCTTCTCCAGTCGTTCCAGCTAAGCCAACACATCTAGCCTGCACAGGACGTAACTCAAGCTAGTCTCTGGTCATGCTCATCATTATTTCATTGCTCCAGTGCTTTTACATCACCAGAACTGCCCACTTACTGTCTTTCTTATCATTATCTTGATCTCTCCTTCTGGTCAGCTTCTCATTAACACAAAACTTTTTCTTCTCATTTTAGCTCCTGATGCTTCCTGGATGCAGGACTAAATAAAATGCATTTGTTTTACTCTGTTTTCACTTGAAAATAAAATCTACATTCGAGTCATGATGTTGACTAACATAAGTTTCACAATGACATTGCTCTGAATAATAAGTTAAGTGGGCCGGTGTTGCACGAGGATATGTGCCTGCATGTGTAATATGGGCGTATCAGATTACAACCTATTCCCTAAGGATGGTAATGAGCTTTCATTAATTAATGATACAGAATCAAATGCCACCATCCTTCTCCCACCTCCACAATTTTATCACTTGGTAATTGTATTACAGGCTGACATCATTCTTGTAAATTGTCATTTTATTTGATTTTAAATGTTTATAAAACTGTCGTATAAGCAAAGAATCTGAGCATCTGGGTAGTCAACCTGAACCTTTGGTACACAAATATATAGAACTGTGCAATGTTGACCCTGTTTTGCACCCATCGTATGAATTATAAATATGGGCTGGTTACCTAGGAAACAAACCAAAATTATGTTGCGCTTGTGAATTGTTTTTGAGCTGTTGGACTGAATAAATCACAAAAGAATGAATCTACAATTTTCATCACCTCAATGAGGGCTTCCAGTCAGAGACCATAAGGGTAAGGCGGTATATCTGTGCTAATCAGAAAGTTCTTCTTTACATCTGTGTTAATCCAAACTTGACCTTTTATCTTTTGGATATAAGAATTCATAGCTTCATCATTTTCAAATTTGTGAATAAATTGTTTAAAGTTTTATCAAAATTCTTTCTTTGGCTGCTTCACCATAACAAACGATCTGCCTCCAACCTTTGACTCTGCTTAGCACAGAGATCCTGACCATCTGTTCAAGTCAAAGCAATTTCAATTTTATTCAATTTTATTTATATGGTGCCAAATCAAATGAAATCAAATTAAATTAAAGACTCTAGAAAAACACAGAGAAAACCCCAACAATCAAACGACCCCCTTTGAGCAAGTACTTGGCAACAGTGGAAAAGAAAAACTCCCTTTTGACAAGAAGAAACCTCTGGCAATATATGTATGCATCCTTAATGAAGCAGAGGATTACCAGACAGATAGTAGCTAAAGTAAGACTTACAAGTTTTAGGTCACTGTAATAAAGGGTATTAATAATAATAATAAATAAATAAGTTTTTATTTATATAGCACCTTTCAAGACAGAATCACAAAGTGCTGCACATAAGATTACAAGTCATAAAAAGATTTAAAAATAAAAAATAAAACAGGCGATAAAATAAACTAAAGGTTTTTTGTGAGACCATAAAAACCTTTAGTTTCCATTCTTTAGTATCTTTAGCAACACAAACATGATCCTTGCTCCACATTTGGTTTTTTGGGATCTGGTCAAAAAGACCTGGGAAATGCTCAAATCCCTCTTCCAGGTTTAAAAACTTGTAAGTGGCCTTGTGATCAGTTATATGATCAGCTGAACGATGCTTTATCTTTAATTTAAAGACTTTGTACATACCCAGGTGGCTACACAGACAGCACAGTAGCTGATGTAGCTACATACCAGCTCCTGCAGAGTATCCTGTTGTGCAGCATCTGCTGCAGGAGCGCCGCTGACGTGCATGTGATCTGGCCGCAGGCAGGAGCTACAGCGGGAGGGGTCAAAGGTGTTGGGCTGGAACTGGCAACAGTAACAGTCTTCAGCAGGGGGCGACATGGTCCTGTCCTGTCCTCCGAAGCTTAGGGTGCACATTTCCAGACACATTACTGCTCTAACTCCATTTGATTGACTGGTTTCATTGCACCTGGAGTGCTGTTATTTCCCAGGAGGCTCTTGGTGGGATCTTGGTGGGAGTTCATTAGCATAAACACAATCAAAACAATTGAATACTTATTATACTAATTAAGCAGACTTTAGGAGATTAAAGGTTAATTCTCTAGCTTTTTATATCTGAATTGCTTATAAGCTGAAGCATGATTCTTAAAAAACAGCTGCTCTGTTGCTATAAATTGATCTCATTGAGTCATAGCACTTACAGTGTTGTGTATGTAATGCTGAACTAAAGTGAAATACACACCACTACTGCTTGTATACCTTTACACCTGCTCACCTGCTTGTAAAAGAAACCCCCTAGTATATGCCTGTGAAGTATATATTAATGGCTTGTAAATCTCTAATGGAAAATAAAAAAATTGTTTACCTTGGTGACGTAATCCAATGGTTTACAGAGGCTATATCCAAAAAAGAATCCTCCAGCAAAACTTGACATCAGAATGGAAATGATCTCGTGCTACTATGCAGGAGTTAAAGACTGTGGTCTTTTGTCAGAAAGCAAACTTTCATTGGTTCTCACAGGGCCCCAATATGGCAATTGTGTCCTATCAGGTATCATCACCTTTAGAAAATGAAACTGAGCACTAACTCCTCTTAACAGATGTCTTATGGCTGATGATGTGCTGCTGCACAGATGGTTGCCCTCACCCTGAAGCCTCAAAGGAAAGAGATAACTGGACAGAGAGTACAACCAACATAGCATGATACACATGACCAAATCATACTGTATCTTAAATAATAATTTTCACTGGGTGCAAGAAAGTAAACACAGAAACTGATGTTGTTCTTAAGATTAGGGAAAAATTAAATTGTGGATGTATGTCCTCGACCTTTGTCTTATTCATGTGTATTCACCACAAACACTAAACATCGAAAACTTTCAAATAATCGTTTTTTGGGATATTTGTTCTTTAAGCCATGCAGGTGCTGAAACCTCTGAAACTACATCAAGCACCTTAATAGCTTAGTTTGGCAAAAAGACTGGTAACACTGGGACATAAGTAACCAAGTGGGAACACCAGCAGTTCCGCATAAGGGTTTGTCTGCTGGTTGATTGCAATTTCCTGTCTTTATATTAAAGTAAAACAAACACACAGTTTTACACTATAGGGCCTCTCATTTTTCTGCCTAAAGCCTGCCAATCGAGTAGAAATGTTTCCAGATTTGTAATTTTTTACATGCAGTCCACTCACATTTAGATTATCAAGTATATAAAAGAGTTTAGTAAATTTCAGTGATGAGTCTGAGGCCATTTTCCTGCACCTACACAATATGGGGGCTGCAAATAAACACCATAAGTCATTTGTGTTATTAGTATTGGCTTGATACCAGGGTAATCACAGTACAGAAACTTTAATCTAGCAACACTTAGTGGTGTTACTCGCTGATGCTCATATGGGTGTTAAATGTCTGTAAAGTTGTAGTGATGGAGGCCATAGCAGCTTTGTAGCAAGAAGGTTGTTGTTCTCCCTGTGTCTGTGTGGGTTCTCTGCAGGGTACTCTCTTGGTCCCCAACAACCCTGAATTGGAAAAGCAGAAGAAAATGTTTTCCCTGAGTCATAACAAATAAATATATGAAAATGCAACAGTTCTATGGATAAAAATGTCTTGTTGATGCCAGAGGTCAGAGGAGAATGGCTGCACTGCTTTGAGCTCATAGGACGGCAACAGTAACTCAAATAACCTTTCAATACAACCAAGCTGTGCAGAAGAGCATATCTAAATGCACAACACCTTAACAGCAGCATAAGACCACACCGGGTGCCACTCCTGTCAGCTAAGAATAGCAAATGGACACAATACTTCAAACATTGCCTGGTCTGAGTACAAGTTTCTGCTGTGATATTCATATTAAGACTGTTCTCAAGACAAAAAGGGGCCCAGCCCTGTATCTCTAATGGTGTATCTAATATTTCTTGATATCAAATTATTTGATGGATTGAATTCAAACAACCTTAGCCTAAACAAAATGGGCCACAGAAAAAAAGTTAAGGTAATACAGAACATGAACTCAACTAATTTAATTCAAATTCAGTAACACAGCCAATTTTTTTTGCAGCAAACTCCTATAAGTGAGCAAATCTCTGAGAGCTGCTGGCATCATTGGCTAATTTCTATCGGGAATACTCAGTCTGCTTTCTTCTGGGATTATTATGCTTGAGCAAGCCACGAGAGGGGGCCTTTGGTTTCAACAGGGACGTACAGTACACAAACTGAGGACAAACATTAAATGCTCACAATCACTCTCTACTGTTTTCTCCCCCTACAGTGCCTGGCCACGGACCATCTGCTTGTAGATCCCCACACTGCTCATCAAACGTCCGCAGAGGTTCTGTGTATTTATAAACGCACTTTAATCTGCCTCTTGTTATAAAATGACAGTTGAGAATGAAGCGCTCAGGCCCACTTTGCTTCTTGTGAGCGTGCGCATGTGTCTCGTTTTAGAACATGTTCACAGTTTGTGATGATTAATTACAGTTTCGTAAGCCTACATTTTGTCAAGCAGCGGTATCAAATGAACTCCCAAGACGAAGTATAATTAAAGATTTTTGGCAAGTAAAATGACAATTAAGGGGAGATATTTTTGTCTTTGCTGTGTGTCACATGCGTACTGTAGCTACATTCAGCTGCTCTGGCAGCAGTTGGTGTAATGAGAGAGTGGAGCCAGTATCCATGGAAATGCAGTTGGAAAAGTTCACCTCACACAAGTTGAAACTAACACCAAGGTAAACATGTTAATGACTGCATTAAAGCTATTTCATGGCCACATAGAGATTTTATTCCTCCCCCATGTTGAGCACTGAGGTAGTCCAGGTTTTCTGTTGCTGTTTTTTTTTCTGGCAAGGTTATTCAAAAACACCGGCAGACTGAATTTTGATAAACTTTGCGGAAAGATGTAGCATGAAAAAACAAAAAGGCAAGCAAAACGTGTGGATCTGGATCATTTTTACTATACAATTGCAACCTTGGTCTATCCATTTCAAATGTTAGTAGAAGCATGTGTCCTTGGCAGTGGAGAGGGATGTGCTCTCTGATTGTCAATTTTTCTGTTTTTCCTGAATAATTAGTGATGATGACTCTACTGTTCATAAACACACTTAGAAGCTAAGGTCTGAATTGGCTCCTCAATTAAGATTTTGGCAGACCTGTGAAAAACTAAGTACGCCTTTCCTGGTGTTGTACATCTAAGTACATCCAGCCAGGTGTTGATATTCAGATGCACTTGATCAATCATTATCATTATCAGTCAGGCTTTCTAGGTTTGGATGTCCTAACAAGGTCAGAGAAAATGCAAAAATTCAAGAGTTACATCTCAGACTCAGTTAGCATGCTAAATGCTAAAACACATGACTGTACATTTAGAAAAATGCTGAAAAAGTATGGCTTGTTTCGAAGAGTTGCCAGGAGAAAGTCTCTTTTATATAAAAATAACATGGCAGCACTGCTCAAGTTTGCAGAGTTGTCCTGGAACAATGTCCTTTAGAAATAACAGAAAAAAGTGGAAATGTTTGACCGTACTATCTTAATTAAAACACAACATGTCAGCACAAACTCATACTAGCATGCATGGTGGTGGAGGGCTGACAGTTTGGGCTCGTTTTGCAGCCACAGCATCTGTGTAGCATCACTGAGTTGACCATGAACTTCTCTGCATGGCTTAAAAATGCAAATAGACAATGAAAGCAAGCACAGCAGCAAAAGAATCAAGTTGTTGGAATGGCCGATTCAAAAGCTAGAGCTCAACCTGATTGAAATTCTGTGCTGGAATCTAAAGAATGCCCTCAAATCTCTATGGAATAAACAAGTAGTACAAAACTATAGAGGGCTTGCAACAACATAAGAGACCAATGAAGTTTTACAGAAAATGATTATTTCAAGTTATTGCTGCAAAAGCTGTTACTGCAGGCTATTGAACTATGGGATGTACTTATTTTTTACAAAGCACTGTAAAAGAAAAATCACTCAGTTCCCTGATTATTTGTTATTATAAAGTCCATCTTTTCCTTTCACTGATGGATTGGGAGCTGTATGGTGGATAAATGTAACACTCCATGTGTTGGAGCTCAAATAGAGCATTATACAGTATATAGAAAGTGATTCTGGACACAAACTTTTTTTTATTGTTAGTTTAAAGCTAGTTTTCACAATAAAAATTATATTGTTTAACCCTTTCACGCATTGCGGTCACTACAGTGGACAGCTATTCAAAGGCCGTTTTTTTGTATTTGTGTCAGTGTTGATGGACATAAATGACTACATTGGACACTGATGTGTCACTCCATACCCTTCCACCCACTGGTTGTTTAATGTTACTATAGATGTATGACGTGTTTCATTGTAATTATTGTAATTTAACCCTGTCATGTATGAATTATGACAACCTCAATCAGGATTTCTTCCTTAAGTATTTTTATTCATCTGTTCATGCCTAAAGATGAATAAAAATACTTGAAAATCCTGATTGTGGTTGTCATAATTCATATATGACAGGGTTAAGATCTACTTTCCCTGCATCACATAACAGACAAGCAACTACCGACAAGCAACATAACAGACAAGCAACTACAGCGTGGTAGTTGTGATTTGCTGGTGCAATATATTTCAAATAAATAATTAAATCATTACTCTAGAAATGCAATCTAAAGGGTAGTTCAACTGTTTGCATGTTGGGCTCTTATCTTTTAACAGCAGACCAAGAACTGCTTGGTGTTCACTTCAGCTTCATGCTTTGTACTTGTCAATGTTTCCATTACTTCACCCCTCTTCTGGACATGGGGCCACTCGCCATGTGCTCAGCTTTTAGTATTGTGGCTTTTACGTCAGAGTTACAAATGCCATCACGTGTGATCGATTCCTTTGGTCTGCATCTCTGCATCACTCTC